CCTCCTCCCTCCTCCTCCCACCTCCTCCTCCCGCTTTCTGTAATAGAAAGTTTTTTAGTAATATAATTTAGTAATAATTTTGTTGGTACTAGGGTTTACGAGGATATATAGGTAGATGGATGGAACTAGTTGATCTATCTATATATAGTAGGTTCTTAGTTCAACTAGTTGAGTTAATAGAACTAGTTTATTTTTAGTAAGAACATTTAGGTATATGAGATTTGATGACCTAATTAAAATTTTACTATAGAACTAGTTTATTTTTGGTAAGAAAATTAATAGAACTAGTTTATTTTTAGTAAGTGTTTAGTTGAACTAGTTGAATTAATAGAACTAGTTGAATTTATATCATTATCACTTTGTCATCAAAGAATGCTATATGAGATTTGATGATCTAATTAAAATTTTACTCGGTGGAATATGCAGGCTTTGTAGAGTCGTCGTGTCTCCTTGGAGTGATCATCATCCGAGCTACCTCTACTTCCTCTACACCCAAGTCGGTGAGCTAAAAGTCCACCTCCTCCTTCTCCACTCCTCGGTGTTGAATAGAGTAGAACTAGAATATTTATTTATGCTTCTTAACCAAATGAAATGTTCGATTTATAACATATATTGAAATGTTTTTGTCAATATTGAACCATTGAAATGTAATGAGCACCAGTTTATGCTCATGTGCGAAGTGTTGATTCATTTCTGAGTGGCCTATGCTTTGCCTGAGTGTTGATTCATTTCCGTTCCGGCAAATTTCAGGCGCTCGATATGTCCTATTTTAGCAAAGGTCATGCCGGATTTTCCCATGAATTTAAGCATGACTTGTGCTAGAATATGTAGGAAATATCAAGTGCTCCGGATTTGTTAGAAATAGAATTAAACGATATTTCGAGTTGACTTTAAGTCTATCGGGGCTCCATACATGATAGTCAAAAAATCAGTGAGGGAGAGTCTCCACTATATGTGAGAGAAGAAGAATGTCGACAGTTGATGTGGGGGTCGCTTCTCCTTCTTCTCTTTGGGCTAGACCTTTGTTATGCAGTAGGGGAAGGAGTAGCGACCATCATCGATGGTCAAAAAAATCGGAGAGGGAGTGCCAACCATATACGTGAGATAAGAGTTTAGGAAGGATGACTCGA